ATTCGATATTTTGATTTTCATAAGTTAATTGGGAATTTCATGCGTAGATAATTATAATTTAAATGATAGGAACTAGCATTTTTATGAATTTTTTATATTTAAAAAGGGTGTGTTTATTCAAGTCTGCATCTAGTTAAATTTTAATCAAATAGTTCACAAACACTTAATTTACCCATAATGTTCGGTTTCGGTTATTAACATTGTATAGTAGATCCTTTTAGTAAGCCTGTGTTCGGAGTAAGTCATAATAAATCATATTTTATACCATTTCGTTTTGTCATTAAAACACTTAAATTATAATAATTCGTAAATTATTTATTAGATATGCGAATAGAAGTGCTATTATACGGCCTAAGTTCAGCTGCTTGCGGGCCGGGATATCTTGGTCGGTATGGCGCTGGGCCCATATCCGAAAGTTCGTGAGTTCGAACCCCGCCGGCCGAAGACTCCCCCGTCTAGTAAATGGTGACTGATGTACGTTAAATCTGTCGAGTCACAAAGTCCTCCATAATCCCATAACAAATCAATACCTCTGGGGAGTACTGGATTGGACATCGATCGTTCTCTGATTCAGGTCAAAATTACGATCTGTGGATGAATGAATGGATGTATGAATGGATCCGTCCTATAAACGGGTGTGACGTACGGGTGTGGCAGAAATCCAATTCTTGGCCATAGATGGCGCCATTGGAAAACAAGAACAATAGCACCCCTCTGCCTAAACAGGCATAAGCAACAGCAACACTATAACTGATAGTGTCTCAGTGATGTGAATAGGTGTTTGGTGTTTTAGAGTAGCAACTTATGTTTTGTTTAGAGCTTTACTATTAGATTATTAATTGTAGAAAGATTCATTAAAACTGTAATAGAGAGATACGATTCACTGCTATATTTGTTAAGCGTCACGTTGATGTTAAAATTATTAGCATCTAATTACACGTAATCTCTTTACTAAGCCTAGTATAGGTGTTCTAATAATGAGATTGGGTGTTCGCATTTTGAATAAGATAAATATCGCTATTCATATAGCCTTGTAGTTTAAATACTGGTGCTTAATAATACTACATAATAATGGTGCACTAAATTGTGCTTTAACTTTCATTATTTAAGGTAAAGTGGCTTTGAACTCGTTACTAATTAATTGCTATGACTATCAGTGTCCCTGCCATGTTGGTGCAAAAATGTTTAAAAAAGCTGTTTAATATTCTTAACTTTACCGCTAAATTAATATATATCAGTAGACATAAAATCATATTATACCACATGCTCTTAATGAACACATTTTTGAGAAAAAAAATATGTTAAATGTTGTCTCATAATTTTACTATACCTATTTGTAGTAAGAAATATATATTTTTCACTACGGTAGTGAACAAAGCTTGTTGCTGAGATAGTTAATAGACAATTTGGTAACTTTCCAAAACAAATGTATTTCAAATCTATTTGAAAATCAATTTAAACATGGGCACAAAAAAGAAACAGGTGTGGAACAATTTTGTACTAAAGTGGTATTTTCTTTTCAACAGTGTAAGAAAGAGTACATAAAAGTATGAGGCAAAAATTTTAATCACAACTTTTAAAATCACAATTTTTTTTCACAAAAGATCAAAATTTTTGAGAAAAACAACTGTTCAAGATTCTTAATTTTACTGTTAAATTATTATAGATTAATAGATAATATATCAATTGTTCTGAATGAAAAAAATTGCGAGATAAAATTTCAAATTTTGTCCCATAATTTTACTATACCGAATTGTAGTAAGAAATATATATTTTTTACAACGGCGAAACTTATTTAGTTAACAATGATTGTTCCTGAGATTGTTAATAAAAAATTTGGAAAATATTTTAAAATTGTTTATTTCAAAACTATTTGGAAATCAATTTAAACAGGGTCCATTGAAACAGAACAGAAATAGGTTTGGAACAATTTTTTTCATAAAAGTGATACTTTTTACAACAGTTTTGGAGAGAGAATATAAAACAGTATTAGAACAGAATGTTTTAAAAGCAGAATATTTTTAATCACAAATTTCTGAATTCAAAATTTTTATCAAAAATTGATAAATTCATTCCGCAGCAAATGAAAACTCTCAGAAAATGTGAATAAAAAATCGCATCACATTTATTTCGAAGTGCTTTTATTTTAGAAAATATTCAGTGTATAAAATTCAATGCATAAGGAAGAAAAATTACTGTAAAATCTATAAATCAATATTTTCTAAAAACAAATTTCAGCAATCAGAAAGAAAATATAGAAAGTTCTCTGGTTTTAACAGTTGTGGAGGAAAACGAAAAGTGTCAAAATCAATATTTTTTTTTTTTTTTTTTTTTTTTTTTTTTTTNTATTTTTTTTTTTTTTTTTTGGTAATATCGAAAAAAATGTTAAAATGTCAAGCACACGCGCCTATCTACCAAAAATATGTGTCCTAAAATTGAAAAGATAAAAAAAAAAGGATTTTGATTTACATACTTTAGAGAAAGGGTGGGAGTATATAATATTATAAACAAACATTTTTTATTCAAAATTTTTGGATCTATTTCTAAGATTGAACAGAACGCCTTTTTAATGTTTTTGATCGAAAATATTTTTTCCCATTTAGTTGAATTCGTTTACTGCAAGCTTGGTATATCGAGATCTCGGGACACTTTTAATAAATGGTTGGTATAATACTAAAAAAAACTTTTGTCGAACCTCCGTTGTCTTATATATATTTTAGATTTAAATAGAAATGTTTCAAAGAGTTTAAAATATCCCATTTAGCTCATTTGTTTACCGTTCAGAATATCCTCGAATGGTTATATTCCGACTCTGAAATACGCGGGAATATTACCACCGTTAGGGAGAATGTAATAAGAAGACAAGGTGATCACTATCTCCACCTGCCCTCTAATCCATGTGTAATGCACTCTTGCTCCAGTGTTGTTTTCAAATCATCATTAAAGATGGATAAGGATCATCATTAAGGCCATTGCCAATAGCACGACATTGTAGCTAAATCAAAATTACAGAACTAAAAGTTACAAAAACAAAAAATCTGATCATACTGCTGATCACACTGATCATATTGCTGATGTAAAATATATTCAATGATATACGTTATTTTTTTTTTGCAACTATAAAACTAATTTGTGTAGTAAAATATTCAAAAATCCTGTTTTTTCACAATTAGTTAGGATCAAAAAAATTTGCAATAATGTTGAAAGTTTTCGGGAAGCTGTGGATAATTTTTTAAATAATTTGAGTAATAATGATTTTCCTTTTAATTTTTCTAATGATAATTTTTTAATTAAAAAAATGATTGATAGTTTCTAAGTTTTTATATAATTTTTTCTTTTAACAGGGCGCAATTCTAGTCTTAACTGAGCAGCCCCAGTTAAGCATTCTATTAATTTGTCTACGTATTTCTTTCTCCTGACCTTTTCCATTTCATTTTAAACTTCTTCTGCGCATTATAATAGGGGGCGTTGTTTTTTTCAGTTTTTAGTGTTTTTTTCTTCTACTTGCTTTTGAAGTTGATGCTTGACCTGTGACTTAGTGAGTTTTTATTTTTCTGCTGATTTTGATTGAGTTTCTTTTCTTAATTTGTTAATTATTTTGAATGTATCTTGTTTTTCCTGGACCTCTATACAAAACCATCTTGGTACTGAGGGAGATATTTTAAGCATTTGCTTCTCCCTCAATTAGAAATGGTTTTGTTTTTAATGGCTACCGAGGCCGGTACCCCCTGAAGACGTCAGCTTCGGTGGTCATATTTTTATTTTTATTTCCTTCGTTTCTTTTATTGATACTTTTTTCTGAAATTTCTGCTGCTTCTTAGCGCGTTTTTTTCAAAGAAGTTTTTTACAAAGAAGTTTTATCCTTTTCGAATTTAATTATTTGTGTTTTCTTTCAGTAATGATATACGGACCATAGTTTAAAGTCCCTTTGCCGTCAGGTAAATTATGGGAGATTTTCAGGGTTTTCTTCTCCACGTAACGCAAATGTGGGTTAGTTCTAACAAAAAGTCCTCCGCGAAGGTAAATTTCTCCCAATTCTTATTTAATCCAGGAGTCTTCTGGATTACGTTCAAATTTACAAGGCTACTGAGTTAAACATTGGAAATCGTAAACTGAAATTTGGGTCGGATGTAAACTAAAAATTGAAATTAGTATTTAAAGAACAAAATTTTTTAAATAGAGAAATATTAAGTATTATCCCAAAAGAACACGCAGGGGCCTTAAAAATGTTATGAGCAATTCTTCAGGGGTGATTTTGAGCCCAAGTCAAAATTCCGGAAAATTTCTTGAGTTGCACATACCTATACCATTTACACATACCTATGATGACCTGGAGAAGTAATTAAAATTTACAAATATGTCTTTCTTTCTTGAGTTTATGATTATAATAACTATTTACTGATAAAAAAATAAATATTAATCATGAATATAAGCTTATAAAGTAACTGGCTCTCCCTTACAAACAAATAAACTGTGTTTTTAAGTTCCACCTTTGAAAATTTGATTTCCGGAAATTCTGTGATCAATAATTTTTTGAAAAGTCTGGACCTTCGATCTCCGGAAACTTTCGGATCACTGTTAGCGAAAAATCCGGATTTTTTCCGGAGCACAATCAGCCCTGATTCTTGCAAAACATTTTTAAGATAAACTTTAGATAAAATGAGCATTTGATCAAGAAAATTATCCGAAAAATTATAAACTAGATTTTTATAAGTTGAACGCAATATTTTTTTTTTCGGACTGACTCGTAGAAACTTAGTATTTGAAAATTTTAAACTATTTTATTTCCATACTTTTTGCCTTGGGTTTTATTTTGCAATGAAGCTCTTTTTACAGTAATAGTTTACTGCAGCATCGCGAGATTACAGGCCAAATTTCACATTATTTTTTACTTTAAAAATTAACTGAATGTTTTACTGTATAATCTTAAGTTAACGATTCTTTTTTTTTGCTGTTGTTACAATTTAAAGTAGAAATGAGTATAAAAAAAAACTACTTACATAAAACTTTCAACTCCATTTCTTTACCAAGTTTTCCATGTCTGTTTTCAGCTTGGCAAACGTACATACCAGCATGTTCACGATAGACGCTGTCGTTAAACGTGAGTACGTCATCTCGGGCAATGACCAAGTCTCCCTTTTTCCACATGAATGTGCTTGGAGGCCATGACTGTGCTACGCATTCCACACTCTGTGGTATCTCCCCTTCGTTCACAAAAATCATGTCTTCAGACAGTTTGATAAATTCTGGTGCATCTGAAATTTACATTTATCACGATCACCATCAGATTATAAATTAAGTTAGGCAATACAAGTAGATGAGAATTCATTTCTGCGGTGTTGCGTCACGTACAAATGGGATAGTTCATACGTTTCTGAATGGATATTTTCATCACGAGAATTCATTTCTGCCGTGTTGCGTCATGTACAAATGAGATAGTTCGTAAGTTTCTGAATGGGTATTTTCATCACGAGAATTAATGAAAATTCATTTCTGCGGTGTTGCGTCATGTACAAATGAGATAGTTCGTAAGTTTCTGAATGGGTATTTTCATCACGAGAATTAATGAAAATTCATTTCTGCGGTGTTGCGTCATATACAAATGAGATAGTTCATACGTTTCAGAATGGGTATTTTCATCACGAGAATTAATGAGAATTTATTTCCGCGGTGTTGCGTCATGTACAAATGAGATAGTTCATACTTTTCTGAATGGTTACTTTCATTACGAGAATTAATGAGATTTCATTTCTGCGTTGTTGCATTATGTACAAATGAGATAGTTCATACGTTTCGGAATGGATATTTTCATCACGAGAATTAATGAAAATTCATTTCTGCGGTGTTGCGTCATGTACAAATGAGATAGTTCCTACGTTTCTGAAAGGGTATTTTCATCACGATAGTTAATGAGAATTTATTTCTGCGGTGTTGCGTCATGTACAAATGAGATAGTTCATACGTTTCGGAATGGATATTTTCATCACGAGAATTAATGAAAATTCATTTCTGCCGTGTTGCGTCATGTACAAATGAGATAGTTCCTACGTTTCTGAAAGGGTATTTTCATCACGATAGTTAATGAGAATTTATTTCTGCGGTGTTGCGTCATGTACAAATGAGATAGTTCATACGTTTCAGAATGGGTATTTTCATCACGAGAATTAATGAAAATTCATTTCTGCGGTGTTGCGTCATGTACAAATGAGATAGATAGATGAGATTTTCATCACGAGTCATTTACATTTGAGTAATCAGTGATATAATTAATTTCTTTTATTCCATTCCTTTTAGAACAAGAAAAATATCTTCTTAAAAAACGTGAGGTTATAAAACTTGGTTTTGATTCTTATGAATTCAAACTCCACAATAAAAAGATCTAATGTCTGTAAAAAAAACAATAAAATTTCGCTAACGTTCTTATTAAAAAAATATTTCTAATAAATCAGAAATGTTGCACATTGACGTAATTAAAACAGTTATGAGAAATGTTTAAATTTTCTAATCAAAATATCATCCTTAAAACGCAAATTTAAATTTGTGAAAGTTCCTGATTTATTGAATTCGTGAGAAAAAGAAACACAATATCAGTAGTCCTTCAAGACTTTTTGCGAACGTTAATTCATGTTTTTGTGACAAAAAGCATATTATTATTATTAAAATGAGTTGATCCGTTTTTTCAAAAGAAGAATTTAGTAAAGGGTTCATTTTGAAAATGAAAAATATTGAGTATATTTAGTTTTTAAGATGAAATATTTTTCTTCTTTTACAAAATTAAAACAAAATGCAAAGGGTCCGTTTACGAATGCAAATTTCTAATGATTTTCCTTTGCTTCGAATATTGTTTCGTTGGGGTCTAAATTCATACGAATTTAACCGAATGTTATTGTCTCGCATTCTCTAGGCGAATATTTCATTCATTAAAAGCTATGAAACAATTAAATGATTGTCAAAGATGATTACTTTGATTTTGAATGCAAATGACACGTAATGAAAATACCCTTATGGTAACTTCCTAATTGTAGTTACAGAAAATTAGAGAATTCTACGTTTCATGCATAAATATGAAGGTTTAGAATACATTTAGGAACAATCTCAGATTTTAAAAGTGTTGAAAATTTCCTATAGATGAATAAAGATAATAAACGTAAAAAACACACAAATACATTATATAGCACAAACAGACATACTATAGTTTCGTTTCAATAATGAATAACGATCTTCCATGTTGCGACTCAGAACGAGAGCAGACAACAAAGAAATTTAGAAGAAAATTACAAATTACAAAGAGAATTAAAAAAGGGGTTGAATCAATAAGTCAAGGATATATATATATATATATATATTGAGGAAATAAGGAAGAAATTGAGGTAAAAAAGGGAGGAAACATTGAAAAAATTATTGAAATGAGATTATTTTAAAAAATATTATGTTTTAAAATTTAATATCATTATCAAGATATCATCAAGATAAAGAAAAGATATAATATTTTCATCAGCGGACACGATTATATCCGCAAAAAGGAGTGCTTTCTAATATTGTATCAATATAGCCAAAGCAAAATATATCAATACAATAGTGTGAGGAGCACTCAAGAAAAAATTTAAATGAAAATGCTTGATAAATAAAAAAAATTTACAATTTTGAAAAATAATTTCATTATAATAATTTTCTTCTTCTCTTGTCATTGATCTTTTTTATCATTTTTATCATATATTACTAAAATTTTACAAAATATTAAACGATTCCCATGAATCTAGATCCGTAAATGTGGAGCCGAGATAATTAAATTTAAAAGAGGAAAAAGGTTATATCTTGTGAAAAATTATTAAATTAGTTATCTGATGTAAGAACTAGCAGAAGTTCTTGTTCCGTGTGGTGTATACAATACAGTAGTGAGAACTTTAAGAAATGTAAAATATTTTGATAATGACTTCTTACATTCAACAAGGAATTCCATAGTGGATGACACGCCTTCTCCAACATCGTTGCCTGTTGAAGAACAGGTGTAATTGGCATCATCGCGTTTTCGACTCAGCCTTCTATCGGGCCAAGCAGCCATATTAAACTTCAAAGAACTACTGACGGATTTGAATCGGTTTTGGACCATATCCTCGTTTTCGATCTGATTAATGATTATATACACATCGGTGCTCGTAATAGTGCTTCCGTCTTTGGACCACGTGACATCACAGATAGGATCACATTCCACTTGGCATTTGAAGTTGATGAAGGCTGCGTTGCGCTCAGCACCTCGTATGTCTGGCAAGTCGATGATGAAGGCCGGAGGAGCTGAAAAAAATGTTAAGCAATGTCAGCAAAATTAATTTATTTAAAAAAAAAACAGTGTTAAAATTAGAAGGAAAAAAACTTCCTTTCACTGTTGTTCAAGTTAATGATCTAACATCTTTTTTTTTTATCAAACAGTTTATAACAGAAAAAAAGATCGCTTTTCGTAAGCATTTCATAAGTTACACTCACACACAAGCATTAAAGTGCAATACATTCTTCTTCTTTAACCAGCAATACAGTCGATTACCGGCCTTGGTTGTCTCAAGCAACTAATTCCATGTCGATTTAACCAACGACACTACTCCATCTATTTACCTCCTGCATGCTCTCCACACCCTCTGGCCATCCAGTGCGTGATCTGCCTCTTTTTCCACAGATTTGAGGAAAGTTATGTTCTTGACTGGGTCATTGCTGTCGTATCCGCTTGATTTTAACTACTTTAATTGTATTTGGTTCTCTTAATAAGCTATATATATATATATATATATANCATATCTATATATATATATATATATATATAAAAGAAACAAGTGTGAGAGAATTTTGCAGATCACCCAGGCTGCAACACATTAAATAAGAATAAACTTACACATAGTCGGAAACTGTAGGGGTTAGTAGAAAGAATTATTTGAATTTAATGAAGTATGGTTCAAAATCAAATAGGTTAATAAAGGACATTGTTGAATGATTTTGGCAGAAGAAAACTCCAAACTTGTGAATAGAATTCCAACTATGTAGAGTAAAGGAATCTCCATTCATATTTTGATACATCTTTCGTGTTCTTCAAATCAAAGTTTAAGGTGTATGTTTAGTGTGTTCAATATATGCAATACAACATAGACGCGATATTCGTAAAATATCCTAGTCATTACTATCAGCAATAGGGTTTTTAAGGTTAAGGGAAGTTAGTTTATTGACGGGACAAAATGCAGTTTTAAACTCTAATCTATTCAAAGTCTTAGTGATTAAAGAACTGGATTTTCAGATAATAAGGTAAAACAATCAAATTGTTAAAATTTCGAAGTAAAGAGTTCGGTGGTTTGCGAAATTAATTTTACATGGATGGAAATAATATAATTAGAAAATTTTATAGGAAGCAGAATTTTAAATTTATAGAAACTAATTTATAGGAAACAGTGCCAATATTGTAAACAATGGGTCTAAAAGAAGTACCAGCTTTATGAAATTTAGGTAAAACCTAGCACAGTATGAATTAGGCTTATGAGAATATTCTAGGTGAATAGAAATAATGACTGAAATTTTAACGGCATATTTGATTCTATTCAACATATTAACACTTGGATCTTTAGTAATATGGTTCAAATAGTTATCTACTCAATGAAGAGCTTCTTTACCTTAAATTTACTGCTGTAGACTATGGAATTCTTTCTAATAATAATATTTCCACCTATATAAAATTAATTTCACAACCCACCAAACTGTTTATTTCGAGCTTAAACCATTTGGTTTTTTATATAATATTATCCCAAAAAATCAACTTCCTAATTGCTAAGATTTTGCATAAATTTAAGTTTAAGGTCGTATTTTACCCTGTAAATGCATAGTTGGTTATACATAGTTAGAATTCTATTTACACGCTTGAGTTTTTCTTTTGCTAAAATCATTCAACAATGTTCTTCATTTACCTATTCGATTTTTGGAAGTCATTCCATGGTTTGAAAAATTTCATTAATTTAGTTAATGATCTTTCTTGTGTCCCACCATTCCCAATATTTGGAAGTCTATTCTAATTTAATCTGTTGCACCCAGTTATTTCCGCCAAATCCCATCACATTTGTTTCTTATCTCCCTTTTTTATTATCTCATCCCAACTTGTTCTTCTATCCCTATTGGTTGAACCACTTTGTACGCGTCTGTCTGATTACTTCTGAGCCATCATTTATTGTTTAGTCACCTAGGAAGGTTCTTGTTTATAGAACTGAAACCAAAGTATGTTCATTTCGGAACTTTTAGTGTTTTATTCATGCTGTTTTCTTCCGCACAAGTATACCTTTAATCCACATGGCACAAAGCATACCTTATCAGTTTTGATCTATATGTTACTTAGATAGATCACAATAGCTAAAAAATTTTGAAAAAGTCTTTTTCCTCTTTCTAATTGTCTTTTAAAAAACTCTACACTTATTTTAAAAACATTTCATTTTAATTAAATCCTTATTTTATAACTTCTTTCTTGAGTATTTTTTATGCTCTCTTTAAAATTGTTTTATGGGATAGTGCGATTATACTGGGCAAAACCAATTCTGCAGTAAGTGTGTTATCGATAAATAATAGGTAAAATTGAAAGATTTAACACATCCTTGTCTCGTGGGATTGTGAGATTCTTTTGACGCAAGTTTGGGTTTATAAATTGGCAAACTTACGACAACAGCACACTTCTTATTAAAAACTAACCTAATTTTAATAAGTAAATATCAGTTTTTATATTTCATTTCTTAATTTGTCTTGTTCTTATTTATAATTTTTAGATAGTCAATTCATTTAGAAAAAATGTTAAACTTAATTTTCAAATTTAAAATAACTTTAAAAAAAAACAATTTTCGATATGATAATTTAATTACAAATATCAAGTTTAAATAGGTTAAAAGCACCCTTTTTATCCAACAGAATTAGCATAATTATTTTTTTCCATTAGTTAATAGTATTCAGAACACTAATTATTTTTGCAATTTATTGTAATCCTGAATAAAATTAATTTCTTAAAAATTAATTTCTGCAACAGTTTTTTTGCCTAAACAACTCACAATAGTCGATATTATATTTACATGCGATTGCTTTCACCGAATGAAAAATCTGGAAACTTGTAAATTACAAATCTGGAAACCATACTGTCACAGTTTGATACATAATAATTAATACTAGTAAAATGAATGGCTTATATTTCTACAATTATAACATTCTAACTATATGTTATTAATATTCACTAAATATATAAATATTTTTGCTTATATTTTCTGAAATATTATTTTTTTAATATTTATAGATAGTTTTTTTAAGGCTTCATAATAAATTAAAGCTCATTAAAACTCAATATATTTTCAAATACAATATTTTCATAAGAATGCTTTTTACTTTAATATTATTTTTCAAAAATCTAGTTATAATTGAAGTAAATTGATATCTTGAAAAAATCTATGAATATTTTCTGTATTTTTCCACTCATTATTTTCCTCAACATGTTTTCGTTAACAATTCTAACTATGTAACTACAATCTAACTATTTAACAGTTCTAACTACATAACTATATTCTAAGTTTTTAATAATTCTAACTATATAATTTTTTTTAATTATGACTAAATATACAAATATTTTAAATGTATTTTCTATAGCAAAATTTTCATAATTTTTTTTAATACATTTTTGTTAACAACATTTTTATTTACCATAAATTATTTCTGACTGAATAAACAGATACTGACGATATTTTACGAATTATTTATTATATTCATATATTTATTATCATTTTCATTTTATGAAACACTATAATTATGTTTCATTACTCTTTACTACTGTATTATTTTATTTACTCCTTTATTTATTTTTTACAAAATCTAACTCTACTTTTCATAAATTGCAATCAGGACTAAAAACAGATAATATTGAAAACTTTTATTATTTCCCTTGAATATTCTGTATACTTTCTGAAATATTGAACACACAGAAGTTCATTAGAATATTTATATATCTAATTTTCTAGAAAGCACATTACAATAAAATTGCCGGAAAGAGCTTTTCCAAGTAATAATTAAATACTAAGTTTTTCAAAGCAAAACTAAGATATATATATATATATATATATAAATAAAAAAAATACAAGAAAACACTAAGAAAGTTAAGAAAAACAATAAGTATCATTTATTGCGCTTAAGCTGCAAGTAAACAGCACTCATTAGATAAGTTCAAAATGAAGAATAAAACAAAGAAAAATTATAGACATATGAAAAAAAGGGGG